GCTTGCGCGGTATCGGATCCCGCGCTGACGCGATGCAGGCTCTGCTCTCGCTTGCAAGCTTATTTACTCTCCGTCTATCGCGCCTCGGACGGCGAAGGCACCCACAACTGCCCCGGCAGGGCTCGGATCGTGGGCTATAACCTGGGCAGCCAGGATCGCCACGCGAGCCCGTAGCTCTTCCCTCGAGGCACCCCTTTGTGAACAAGGTTCTGCAGATAGTGCGCCGTATTCGCAGCGGCGTCGGCTATCCAGCACGCCTCGATCGCCCCCTCCTCGTCTACCGGCCGGCGATGTCTGTCTCGCGCTGCACGTCTCTGGTCCCCGGGGCTGAGCTGCCCACCTTCTCACCTTCTCCCATGAACGAACAAAGAGCGTCCCCATCCGGCCGAGCCCGAGCCCGCGGCGCCAGACACACCGGCGCCAAACAAAGGTCTTTGTCCGCCTTTCTGCCCCCTTCCCCAGCCGACATGAATTTGCGCGGCCTTCTAGCGCACCGGCCCCCTGCGACCTCCCCCGCGAAACGTCGTTAGCCCATTTCCATTCTGGAGGCGGCCAGCCGACCGTGGGCTGCCCCCGGGGACGTGCCGCCACCGATCGGACGCGCGCACGCAGCCCGCCCACGTCAGCGCCCGCGGGGGCATGCGCACGCCCGGCGTCTTCTCTCTTGACGACAGTGCACGCCTTCTCCCGCTCCGCCGCGGCAACGGCGCTGCTCGAAGCGGCTGCAAGTTCGTTCAACGTTCACCCGGGTAGGTTGCGGCTCGGGTGCGATGTCTGCGCACATATGCAGACAGCGTGAACGCCGGACGGGCCTGGGGGGCTTCCCGGCCTGCGCCACGCGCCTCGGGGCGAGCTCGGTTCGTGCGGGCGGCCGACTGGGATTGGGTGGCTGGACGTCCTAGCCCCTTCGGCGACCTGGAGTGTAGCCGCTATGAGTGCGCCCGCCGCTGCTCGAATGTTTGGTTCAGCTTGCGGTCTGATGCGCGCGAAGCACGGACCGTGAGGAGGTTCAGGTGAGCTACTGCCGTGATACTTTGATCCTTTGTCCTCCAGGCTGCCTGGTGGGGTTTCTTTGTACCAGCCGACCACGTTTACTACTGACACGCCCGCAACACGTTTTCCTATAGGCGAGTGACTCTGTGCACCTCCGCAGATAGGACACGAGGCGGCTGCGCACTGCTATTTCTTTGTGCATCATTTTCGGTCCAGTGCAAAGCAGTCCGCGGCGTGCTCCGGACATCCAGTGCTCGAATCGCAATTTTGGCTATATTACACACCACGCAGGGGCTTGAAAACAAAGCTGCTCGACTGCCGCAAGGCTGCGGCGTCGCAGCTCGTGTGAGACGTCGGTTCCACGGCCTTCCCACAAGACCATCTTCTAAGCGCCGCAAAAACACGTCGATATGCGCACAAACGAGGTGAGCAATGCCACATCCCGTCCCCTGATTTTTATCTCATGCTATTTGTTGTCCAGAACGACCCTGTTACCACGCCGCCTCACATATGCCACGATATGGGACGCTGATCCCGCGAGCCGCCCGCTATTTCCACCTGTACAGCCGATGCACGCCTCTCTGAGCGGCCCCAGGAATACCGCGGCCCAACGAGAAGTACGCCTTCCGGAACGGTACGTGGATTTCCACACTAACTCCGACACGCTATCTGTTGTGGAGCGCGGCCGCTGAGATGTCTGGTTATGAACTACATCTGCCGAGGAGTTTCCTCCCGGATGGTATGCTTTAGCTTCTCGCTTTCTCGCCGCAGCCGAGCTCTAACCACTTATCGCACACAGCGCATTTTCAGCGCCGCCACCCTGCCCGCGCACAGCTCGATTGGGCACAGGCATATGACGCGTCCCGCCTGCGCTGGACGAGGCCCGGACCGCTAGTCGCCTCAGCGCGTCAGACCAGGAGATCCTGCTCCTGCTCGAGGGTGTCGAGATGTACGACGACGACTGGTCGGCCATCGAAGAGCACGTCGGCACCCGTTCCGCGCAGCAGTGCATCCGCATGTTCCTCCAGCTGCCTATCGAGGATCCTTATGTTTCGGCGGAGGGCGACCTCGGCCCCCTTCGCTACGCACGCGTGCCGCTCGAGCAGGCGGACAACCCAGTGATGAGCGTAGTCGCGTTCCTCGCG